TAGGAAGAAAGATAGAGGAAGGATTAAGGAAGTTTTTTTTACCTATTTGTGTGTGTATGTTTATATGTTTCTTATTTGTTTGATATCGTTGAAAGTTATCTATGAACATTGATAGGGCACTTAAATGTTGAGATTTTTGATTAAGTGATGCTCAAACATCAAAAAAAGAAAAGTTTAATTAATTGGCAGCAAAATGAAAGAAAAAAAAAGCACAAATTCAATTATTTTATTGCTGGCTTGGACATGTAAAAAATTGTTTCATCTATTAAAACACCAAATTTAATTTACTGTTTTCAGATATTAGTCAGTTTTTTTTTTCTTTCTTTTACCTTTAAAGGTTATATCAGTTGTGTTTTTTTCTTCATTCATCATTTACAACATCGGTTGTATGGAAGTGTTTAGTGTGATAATGATTGTATTAAACAAGTCTTATTGCTAAAAATTTATTCAGTATTTATTGTATAGCTGAGTAAAAATTTTGAACATTTATTAATCAATGAAGTGAATTGGATAAGGAAGGAAGGAAGGTAGGCAGAGGGAGGAAGGAAGGAGGGAAGTTATTATAATTTTGTTCCTCACTCATCATTTATTTTTCACCTTTAATTTTGGTTTTTTTTTTGCGGGTTATTTAAAAAGACTTTTGACCTCTGATTGTCCTCGTTTCTCATAATAATAATAACCATATATTTATGCAAAAATTGTTGACATCCAGGCTGAGTAAACCGACAATTTAATCTGATTGCTTTGTTAGGGTTGGGGGGAGAAGGAGAAGGCAGTGGAAGATATTTGTGGACAGTGTGTGGTATTGATGATGACAGTGTTGTTGGTGATGAAGATGATTACTGAAATTCACCACTGATCGTCGATTTTCATAGACAACAATCTGTTTTCTTGATGCTTTCTAATTTAATGTTACCTTTTGGCTTATCTCAGCTGTAAAAAAAACCGGATACACATACAGCGGCGCTCTGTTAATTATTGTTGTCTATGAAACAATCTATTGTAGAAATGATCTGAAATGTATGATGTATAGAAACTTTTAGGTAATATATTCATTTCTATTACTATGATAGTGTTAATTAGTAATTTTCTGTTTGCAAATTAACAATTGTTCTTTTCTCTTCGTCTTTTTCTTTGCTTACTTTTAATTTTTATTCCAGTATTACAGTGTTGGATATGGTTCTACAATTAAAACTTTACGAAAATTTCAGGTCATACAACGATGTCATCGTTGTCACCTCTAAGCAGGCATTATGAAAAGTAAGTTAATTGATTGGTATTCAAAATTTTTTGCATTTACTTCTTATTGTATGCATTTTTTTTCCTTTCGAGGAACGGAATAAGGTTTAGGATTTATTCAATTTTTGTTGATCTAATTGAAAATTGAAAGAAGTTGAACGAATTTTGAAAAATTAGTGTTGCAAGAAGAAGCATAATAAATTATTTGTAAACGAATATTTAATATTCAATTTTGAATGCTTATTCCACATTTCTTTTTTTTTTTTTTTTTTTTTTTTTTTTTTTT